TGTTCTTGAGAGTCTGAGTTCGAAAAAAACTGTTCTCGATAACTGTCACAACTGTCACAAGTTACTTAGGTTGATTTGTCGATTCCTACCTTATTTTTTTTTTCTATGGGTACACCATATGTATATGTATCAAAGGTATGTATATATCGGGTATATAACATATGTATATGCGCATATAACATATGTAGGTATCAGGAATATAACATAGGTAAGTATTGGGTAAGGACGAAGCTCAGTGCTTTGCAATTAGATATAGTACATATAACATGGGTTAGTATCAGGTATATATCTTATAGGTATACCATAGTGAAGATTTTTTTTTTTCGTTTTGAATTGACCTATTGTAAGAAAAGCAACTATTAACAGTGTGTAATTTTTTATTTAGGACAAAGGAAGGTATGTAGCCAACCTTTCCTCCGGAATCTGCAGACCTTTATCAACAACAAAGTTAGAGCGTCTGAATAGAGGACTTGGAGTGGTTACCAAGCTGTTATACCCAGTAATTCTCCTAGGCAATGGGCATATTGCACTTTGACTAGAAGTTACCCTAACCTTGCAAAATAAAAATACACCCATTTCCATTAGTGGAAACGACATAATTATGTCGTTTCCACTTAGTCTAGGTTATTCCCCCTCAGGAGTGACGAGCGTTTTGCATTTGCCTCGTCATTCGAGTGACGAGCGTTTTGCATTTGCCACGTCATTCGAGACTGTGGCTATTTTTTGTATATCAAATTGGTGATCCCGGGTGATTTAAAATACAAGGCGCTCAGTGAGTTAGGTTATGAAGGAGTGACGTGCGTTTTGCATTTGCCTCGTCATTCGAGCGCAGTCGATCGCAAAATTCAAGTCATGATTGATAGATGGCTTGAATACCCTTTTGAAAGTCAAATTCGATATCAATAATGTTTTAATCACTCATATAAATTTTCGTATATCGGTTTAGTGCTTCTAATCGATTTCCGTTATAAATAAATCCCCGAATTAGGTTATGACGTAGCATCATAGTCCTTCTGCGTTTTCTATTATAACCCAAATTCGATAGCATTATTTGTATACCGATTTGATAACCGTGACTGATTTCCGTTGCAATAAAATAACTGGGGTAGGTTATGAAGGAGTGTAAGCCTCATCGCGAGTTTGATCGGTCAAACATATTTTATACGTCATTTGATATCACATGCTAGTGTCAAAGACACATATTATCTGGTTATGCTATCAAGTATGTCGCGTAATTGATATCGGTATATGCATCGCGTAATTGCTATCGGTATTGATTGCAGGTTGATGGGCGGAGTATATATTTATGAAGGCGTCTGATTTCTGCATTTTTAGTCTCCGCCATGTAACATTCATGATCATCGTCACCTATAAGTAGCACTCCAGGAAAATGCTTATTTTGGCTTTTACGATGAATTCGATTGCGAGGGATGAGATACGAAGTGTCGAATTGCTATCAATTAATGCTATCTAGTTGCTAACGGGTATATAATATTACCGAAGTTACCTACCCCGAAAGCATACCTGAAAACATATCATGAAAACGGGTAGGTTTCTGCCATAATTCTTATAATATATTTCCGCACTTACCTACCCCAAAAACATATCGTCAAATGGGTAGGCATCTTCCATATTTATATATAATATTTCTGAAGTTACCTACCCCGACCACATATATCCGAATACGTATCATCAAACAGTGAAGCCTTCTGCCATTTTTCTTATATATATTACGCAGTTAGCTTCACCTCACCATATACCTAAAGCATACCCGAAAACATATCGTCAGATGCGGTATATAACTTCATTTTTTCTTATGTGTCAAAAACACTAGCTCCGCTATATATTATTACCGCACTTACCTACCATGCCAAAGTGGTGTATTCTTCCATATATTATATATAATATTACTGAAGATTACACCACTCGATCACATACCCGAAATATATATGCTAAGGTGGTGTGTTCTTCCATTTTATATATAATATATTTCTGAAGATTACACCACAAAGTTTTCTTTATCTCTATCACATTCATTTACATTCTCGCTAAAATATTTGATACATATTTTTTACTATCACTTACCACCAACTGAAAAAATTAATTTAAACTTTTCCAAACTATATTGTAATAATATAATCGAACAAAGATTGATACATACCAATAAAAAAAACCAAATACCAAAAATGAGCAAACAAAACGCACAAGTGATCAGGTACGGGGGCGGGGAAACTTTAGCCGGGATTCCAACTCGCAATGATATTATTTCGGAATGCGATAATGGGTTAACAGCTATACTCCAACAAAATTTATCCGATAAACAACCTATACACTTCATGCCCAATGATGTAAGTGATGCCACTGAATATATAAATGGGGTATCTACATATATTCTACGTATTTACGGCTCTTTGATTAATGGGCAAAAGGCTAGAGTAGACATTACAGGGATCAAACCCTTCTTCGATGTCGCCATGCCTGATAACGAACCTTTATCTATATTCAAACCAAGATTAGTAAAAATTATATTGGGATCGGAAAAGATTGATAAATCAAAGTTTGGGATAAAAGTTATCCACGCGTATCCAATTCGTGGTTACCATACCGAGAAAAAGGTATATGTTTGTATCACTACATGGAATCATTATGATAGAACACGAATCTTGAAAGAGGTTCGTAAACACAATATTGAAACGGCATCAGATGATATCACTAATGTTTATTATTATCGAAAAATAGCCCGTGAAGAAAAACTACCCCTTTCTGAGTGGGCTGTATTAAGCAATTATAATTACATATCAAATACAAATTCATCATATTATTTCCGTGTATCTGTAAATA